CATGCAACTTGCTGTGTGGAAACAGACACCGCAGTGATAATTTTACAGTGGGCCCTGGCGTTGTGGATGTTCTGTGCGCACGGGTTGCATTTCTGAGTTATGGTCTGCTTGCTGACACTTGGACCCAAGAGAAGGCCAAGATTGAGGTCTCCTAAATGGAGGCACAAGTGGTAAATGAGATCATTAATTGCTGGAGCCTGCACTGTAGCAAATTGACTAGAAATGTGGATTCAGAGAAATTGATATACTTTATTGCTCCTACCGAAATGAATTCCCCTGTCTCTCCTGCCCCCTCGGCAGTAATGAGCACGTTGGGCCAGCCCCGTGATTGGCGTTGCTGCCTTACTGAACTGTTTTGCAAAGTTTTAAACATTTCTTGCATGATTAAATGCACTTTCAATAAATCAATCTCATAATAATTGTTGTTCAGGAGAGTTCATTATTCAGTTTAGTCTTTTAAATGACTGTTCTTCTTTAAAGGATTTTCCTGACGTAATAATGGCTTCAGCTAAATCCATTTGCCATACTCTGGCTTGTAATTACTTTAGATTTGAAGAATAAAATGAATGGCTTTATTATTAATCAGCAGCAAATTTGTCTTACTGTTTTTAACCTTAGAATGGCCTTCACTTGTAAAGTAGTTTCGGTGATTCAGATGGCAGAACACTTTTTTATCCCTTCTCTTCCCTTTTGGATAAAAGGATTTATTTGGTGAAAGCAATTGGTATCCTTTTTTTTTGCAAGCCATTTATCACAATGATTGTAACCATGCAGTGGTGAACAAATTAGCTTCCACCACCCGCTTGGTGTCTCAATGGCTTCTTGTCTGGCCTTTTGTGCTTCCTTCAGGTTGTACATTTGTCGTGACCTGAGCTGTCTGCTGTGACTTCACTGGGCCAACTCTGGATAAAAAAGTAGAGTAAGTTTAAGAACCCAAGCAAAGAACTCTGCATCCCATACTATCTATTTTAATAGGATTCAACCAAGTACATGGTTTTGAAATTCAGATATTTATTGGATTTCCACATTTTTTTCTTTTATATTGTTAAAAATGCCATTCATTTCGCAGCCAACGTCCACTAAAAGCGACGGCTTCCTCCAAATTCTGAACCCCAAAGACAGGAACAAGAAGTTGTGTAAGTGCAAAGAAGGATAGACCTCCAACTTGATGAAAGCTGTCTCAAAGAAAAATAATAGAGGAAACAGAAGAATAGAAAGTTCACAGGAGGAGAAGAGGGTAAAGGAGGGAGGCCAACTCAAAGATGGAGGTATCAGAGTCTCAGCTTTGAAACATCAGCAGTATTTTGCCAGTTTGCAAGTGTGCATATCTAGAATCTTGTATTGACTCTCACATCAAGCTCCATCACATCCTCTTCTCAGTAAGAGGAATGGCACACATTTTTGCAATGTAGTGCTAACTCTTTTTTCAGGCTGCTGGTTTTTGGAAGGTTGGGATATGTTCAGAAAGCTCAACTGAGTTGGAACGGCTTGTTTTGCTTTCTCCCTCTACTGAACCTCCCCTAGACTTGATGTTTCTGGCTTTTCTGCTCACTGGGGGTTGTCATCTCCCAATCTGCCATCTGTCCCTTTCTAAAAAATGTCCCCTCCTTTCGTTGGCAAGTTTTTTAATGTCCTTCCCATCTCTTCCTCCGCGGTCCCCTACCGTCAACCCTCCTTTTAAGCGAAATGTAGGAAATTTCGCAGGGTGACAAGTTTTGTGTTTTCCCATTGCAAAGTTGACTGTCACAGTTTCAGTCCTCATAGTTTCAGTCCTCTGAACTGGCTTGATTTGGGGTATAGGGAAGGGTCAGTTAAATAATTCTTTGGACCACAACATCCCTTCATCCCTTTCCCCAAAGTCATGCACTTTTGCAGACCTTTTTCAAACTCTTGCTTTTGCCTGGCTGGGTTCAGGAAACATGAGTGTGTTCTACTGTCTATAGAATTTTTGCTGTGGTGAGTAGCTGCACATTAGAAAATTAGTATTATGATTTTTTTGTTGAAACTGTTTTGCCTAAGATCCTTCACATCTTAAGTGTCCCCCATTTCATATTTGTTTCAATTTTGCCAATTGCTTGAAAACCATGACAATATTATATGTTTCCAGTTGCCTTGAAACTTCAGCAATCCCATAACACAGCTTTGCAGTATTGTCATAGGCACAACAATTTTGCTGCTGTCTTGCAGTCTAATTTTGGTTGCTGCTAAAATTGCCTGGTTTGCATGTCCTAGTAAGCCATCATTCCAAACGAGCTGTGGCTTACCAGGCCTGCTGCTCAAATCATGCTCTCCCCCCGCTCCCTTTTCTGACACAGGAGGAAAAAAAGTTTGTTGGCTTAACATTATGTGTGAACTAGCCCTTGTGGTTGGGTTCTGTCCAAAAAAGGTTTGTTCTTGGCTTCCTCTCATGGTTTGTTTGGAGAGAAACTAACCATGCGTGCTGGTTCACATGCAGTGCTAAGATAATCCTCTGGTTTGGTTCTTTCAAAGGGAGGAGTGGGGTTGGTGCAATTTGAGCAGTGAGTACCAGCATGCTCTTTGTTCACAGTACACCATAGTTTGTACCTGCAGTTTATGATAATGTGTGAACCAGGCCCGGTGGCTGCTCAAATTTCTCTTTAGAGCTAAACTCCTAGTTGGCAGCCCTATCACCATGTCCCTGAAGGAATAAGCAGTTCAATGTGGCATGAGTCCTGATATAGTATTAGTTTTTTAAGTGCTACTTTCCCCCCTAATCTCAGAACAGAGAGGGCAGAATTACACAGTTGGGCAGATCCTCCCAGATTATAAATAAAATCTGATGTAGATAAGCTAAATGTGAAACTTACTTTGTATGTCACTCCTCAAAAGCCAAGATGGGGATCCAGAGGTGCTAAAGTTCTTTACTTTAGGTTGGATTGTCTTTTCAAGATTATGAGTATCTTTAAAGAACTGTACTGGAGATCATAATCAAGAAGATCCCATGATAGTCTCGTTTTGTTGGAAGCCTTTAAAAAAGTCTAGACTTTGCTATCAGTTTATTATGTGTGTCCTTCTTTACCAAATCTTCCTTTGGAAGGATACTCACCCTAAAACGATGATGGACAGCTTGATTATTTCCTCCCCACATGCAGTTTCTGCCAGAGCTGTGCCTTTATTGAATGCTCCTAGACCTTTGACAGCATAGTTCCAACAACAACAGAAGCTACTCAGCTTTAAGGACTTTGTTCAAACAGAAGGAGGAATTACCCTGAGCAACAGATTAGCTACTCTGCACAGGGCAGTGTTGCAAAAAACAAAAATCTGGGGTAGAGGAATGAGATGAATTATATATCCAGGGATTAATTTAGCATGGGACAGAGAATTTGGTCTTGAGACAATGAAGCCACCAAACTGAAAACCATACCTATGGGCAAGCCAAGGGTTAGGGAGAGGGTCCTAACTTAGAGCTCAGGAATCCTTTCCCCAGCGCTTGGGTGAACATCTCTTGCATACAGTTTTTGCTTGAGTGAATTCTGCTGTGGCAGAGCTGAATTCTCTGAGTGTGGTGTTGGATAGAAAACAGCCCTCATCATCACAATAGAAGTGCCAAGTTTGGACTTCTCTCATAAGTTTCCCTTTGGGCTGCAATATTAAAAATGACAAGAGGCTTGTTGCAACCCACCCTTCCAGTGATGTTTGGAAGGACAGTTTGAAGATGAGTAGTAGGCCAACTTTCCATCACTAATCACGGTTATTTTTTGGTCATCTTTTGGGTTCCAACTCCAAGCATGGGAAAGACCCCAAGATTCACGATTGTTTTGAAGGGAATGGAGCAAGTGGCCAGACCAAAACATACAGTCTCTATATGGATCCGGTCAGGTTCAACATCCCAGCCAGTTGCCCTTGGCACCTTAGCTTGGTGTCTGGGTTATGCTTTGCTTGGAGCAGGCCTCTATTTTATGTTGGAGAAGTGACTCTTAAGTTTTCAGAGCTTCCCTTTGAAATGCAGGTGTGTTATAAATTTCATGGAAAGCATAGCTCTTTTTGGGACAGGAGAAATACCCCTGGGTTAAAATGCAGGAAGTGCAGTTGTAGCAATAAAGATTATGTTGCTGATGAGTTCCCCTCCAGGCCCCATGGCAGTAATACCTCTATATTTTGTCTTTAAGGAAAACTGCTGAGAGGCAATAATTTTTTTTTGTATGTGTCCCATTTTCATTAATGCCGGGTAATTGATGGAGTTGCAGTGACTTGTAACAGTGATGAGTTCTAAACATAAGAATGCACTCCTTCCTAATAAGTGAGCACTGCTGGGCTTTAAAAGCGTACTAAATCAGTTGCTTTAGTGTGAATTTATTAGTTTTTTTCAGCATTAGCTTTAATAGTAGTTATTTACATAAGCGTACATCCCATTAACCGCCATCAGGGCTGGAAAACATGCTGAACTGTTCATATTTTCATATAATTATTGAACATAATGGTTTCATTTGCATTTCTAAACAGTGATGTTTCTGTCAAGCTTGGAAATAGTGGCTTTACGCAGTCCCTATTTCACATCCACTTATTTGACATCGTTAAATTTTATGCTAATGTGCTTCCCTAGAATATCATCAGTAGGACAGATGTTTGTGCTTTAATATACAAATCAGAGATGCTTTGCCTTCCTCGATCCCTCCCCAAACTGCAAAGGATTTTTTTAAAAAATAAAAAAAAACTCCTCTTGGCACTTTTTAGATGTAGTTTGTGTCACTCCAAATAGCTGTGAGAAGTAAAAAAACTCCAGTCCTGACCTCAGCCGCTGCTCTGAAATGTTCTGACACCTACTTTCCTTGCAGGAGCGTGAGATGCAACCTTTCTTCCCCATGGAGGAGAGTCTCTACAGAGAGAATTATTTTTCTTTGCACGATAATTTTTGGAAGGGTATGAAGCAAGCCGCTATATGCAGAGGTCAGCAGATTTATCAGAAGTGATGAAATGAGGCAAGGTAGCTGTTTGGCAGCATTGAAGCTCTGGATAAGATGATGCCAGAGCCCTGACCCTGTGTGTGTGTGTGTGTGTGTGTGTGTGTGTGCGCGCACACACACACACACACACATGTGCAAGGAAGAAAGTCAAAGGACTTGGCCCTCGGAGTTAGACAAGTCAAAAGCCAAAGCAGGAGAATGCCATGATAAATTCCCCGATGCGTTCCGGTCCTTTCCCGCCCTATCAGACCCAGGGCTCATTTTTTAATACGAACTGGTGGTGTATTGAAATTTGTCTTGTCTTGGTGGCATTTAATTGCTTTAGCTTCTTGAGGGGCAGCTAATGTGCATTGGGATGCTGCTGCCTGATGCGAGAGTGGGAAGTCGTTTTTGAAGAATGGCAGTGGGGCTGAACCCTGGCCCTTCCCTGAGGTTTGTGGTACTGCTTTGAGAAAAGCAGAGTGCTTCAGAAGGAGGCAGTGGAGTTTTCCCCTCTTCCCATGCCCACCCCTTGCATGAGAGTTCTGAAACCAAACACAGTCATTCTGAGGCTCCGTGATTGTGGGTTCTAGGTTGATGATCCGGCAACACAGTTTGCAATCTCAGAGGAAGTGGCAGGTTGGCTGCTTTGGGGCAGCAGCAATCCTCTGCTTTTCCTCCCCCAGCACTGAACTCTCTTCTGTCCCTTTAGGACCCCTTATTTTATCTCTGGGGGGCCTTGCAACCTAATATTTGGACCCCAGGTGAGAACCTGGAGGCTGAGAGGGAGGATGTGTCAGAATGAAAATGAATTGACACTGATTTATTTATATTAGTAACTTTGTATTAATGCAACATTTTTCTATGTAACTGTGTATTGTATTTTTGTAATATTTTGTTTAAGATGCCTGTTCTTGCTTCAGGGTTGTTTTTTGTGTCCAACTCTTAGGGATTTTTAAATATATATATATTAAGCAGTATAGAACTTACGTGATCAAGTCAAATAATCATTTGCAAGCCTTGGATGGGCCACCCTGCAAATTAAGGGGAGGGGGTGCACAGCAGCTCCAGAAATGGGCTTAAAATCATCCTTCCTGGCTGAGTTTCAGGTTCTTCTGAGCAGTAGACAAAAGAAAAGGGAGGGGGAAGGTTGGGAAAGGGAGAGAAATACTAAAGTGGGATGTGAGGGGAGAGAGGAAAAGAAAGAGGGGGGAAATAAGGTGGGAGAAAGGAAGGTGGGAAGAGATTGAAAGGGCATGGAGATAAGGAGAAAGAGACAAGAAAGAAGAAAGAAGGAGAGAATAAGAGGACAAAGAAATAAAGGAAGCAATAGAATGGAAGACTGAAGGGAATTATAGGACGCTCCCAGATTAGCTTGATATGTCAAGAAGAGGAAAGGCTACTGTTGTTCTTTATACAGCATATATTTACTGTGTTTGCCCTCCCAACAATCCTGTGCTCGGTCCCTGCTCCTGCCAACCTAGCAGTTCAAAAGCACGGCAAAGTGCAAGTAGATAAATAGGTACCGCTACAGCGGGAAGGTAAACGGCGTTTCCGTGCGCTGCTCTGGTTTGCCAGAAGCGGCTTAGTCATGCTGGCCACATGACCCGGAAGCTGTACGCTGGCTCCCTTGGCCAATAAAGTGAGATGAGCGCCACAACCCCAGAGTCGGCCACGACTGGACCTAATGGTCAGGGGTCCCTTTACCTTTACTTACACATAGGGTCTGTGGCTGGAGGAGATAGACTTGCCTTCATGTCAGAGGCAGAACCTAAATCCAAGCCCAGTGCTATTCTCTGTCCTCACATGGTGCTATGGCTTAAATCTTCAGCTTCCCTTAGAATATCCATGGCATGTTTGGAAAAGAGAAAATGTCAGCGCGCCAAGTTGCAACAAAGCAGGAAGGGGTGGCTCTAGAGTGTTCCACATCCCAACACCTCATGTTTGTGAGAATGCCGTGCACCCAAGTTCGTACTGCTGCCTTTGGGAATTCATCTTTTAAAATACCGTAATGGCAGACCTGCTGCAACTTCCACTGCAAATGGCTTTTCCCTTTTTGGTAGGACCCTCCTCAAAGCAAACTTGGAGTTCTTCACTCTGTGGGGCAGCAAATCAAATAACTACTTTTGGAATTGCTTGGAGTTGCTGCCATCTTCCATGGCAAAGACATTAATTGCCTTGTACTTTATTTCCAACTTAAAACAATATTTTTTTAAAAAAAAAATAGTAAAAAAGAAGATGATGTGCTGTTATTTGGCAATCCTTACTGTTACCTTATGCCACATAAAACTTTGGGGAACACAGGGAGTCATTGGGGTGTATAAAGAAAAGCAAAACCTACAGGTTATCTGTTTGTTCCTGAGATCCTGGAGAGTAGACTGTGGATTCGTAGGCATGCCTTCTGGTTTTTATATATGTTGCAATAAAATGGTGAGGAATGATAAATGTTAACATCCTTTAAATCATTCCTTTAACCTTAAACTGAATATCACTGGTGCCATGCGACAGGCACTGGAACAGAAATGTTCAGGTGGGACTCGGCGGTGCCCGGCAGCGCAAGTGTGACAGCTTAAATACCAACGTGATTTAAATGTGAGCAGTCTGAAGGTTGCATTTTGAGGACTAAGAATAAAACAATTTCGGCCTATTCAAATGTGAATGTTGATGAGCCAGGAGAATGTAAGGAAGAGCTAGCTGTCTGGGGGCCTCCTCTTGCCTGGGCGTACGCAGGTGCAGGAAGAGAAGGCAGCTGGCATGTTGGACGAGGCTTCCACACTACGAATTTAACCTTGCCAAAAGATTTGGATTCAGAAGCCTGATTGTCCAGCCAAGGTGACTGCTGCTGCTATCTGAGATATCTAACTCAAGCCAAGGGCATCAACTGACCTGCTAAGTCTGTCCTCGTTTTGTATAGCCCAGCCAGATAGCTTTCCTCAGCTGTGCCAAGATAGTTTCATTCCTGGTGGACGGGTGCTCCCTAGGAAATATCCTATCACACGCTTAATGTTTTAAGGGGACATGGAGAGGTGACTGAAAATTATGTTGCTGGATGTGCTGTGGTCTTGGATATGGAACGGTCTGCATTTTGTAACTGGAAGGGAAATTCTGTTGGGGCTCTGGAAGTTACGGTGAATGCTGTGCATGGCCAAGTGATAAGGGACTGCTGCCCAATTTGTGTGTTCAGCAGCACCTGTGCAACTTGATTGTGTTTGATTTCAGTAATGGAAAAGGAGGAATATGATCTGGCACACTTCCTGACAAAGAACAGAACTCATGTGTTGGAGTTGCTTTCCTTGGTGGGTGAATATTTTGCTCTTTGGTATCTTATCACAGGAACTGAAAAGGTGGGTAGGAATTAGTGAACACCAAGGTGGTTGGGGTCAATTCTGCAATATGTTCTTTAGAAGTCCTGTAGAGGATTTATTTCAACATATGTTTGCATAGCCGAGGTGTGCTTCAAACATCTAACAAAGTAGACCATTGGCAGGCAAGCTGGTAAGTCTGCGTTGGCTCCTAGAGTGATAACTTGGTAAGTGAAGTATATTTATACAAGTTTGCCTAGGTGGCATGCTTCTGTCATGTAAAAGAACTTGGATTTTCTGGTTGAAGTATTTGTGGTTATTTTATGTCATAAAAGCTGGCTTTGTGAAGCCCTATCAAGACACCATTAATCTTAGCTCAGTGGTGGCGCATGTGCTTTGCATGCAGAAGGTCCCAGGTTCAGCTGTGTCTGGCTAGAAGGGTTTAGTTAGCAGGCAGTGGGAATGACTTCTGCGTCAGACCCTTGAGTGGTGCTCCAGGCAAAGGAGTCAATACCAGGATAGATGTACTGACGGTCTGACTTGGTAGAAGTTAGCTTTGTGTTGTGAGTCCTGGAACTAGCTCTCAATTAGCTCAGCACACTCTTTGAATCCTCAGCAGACCAGTTTCCATGCTATGTGGAATGGTTGTAGCCTACCTTAGTCATGGTAATGGCCAACTCTATGGTCATATGTCAAGCAACTTGAGAATATAGCACACCGAGTCTTGACACTGAAAGGAAACTTCTTTCCTTGTTGCAATTTGATTTGGAAATACAAAAATTCACTCCTTTGTCTAGGCCAGGCTATATGTACACTGCCCTAAGAATACATTAGTACAACTTGCATTTTTAATATATATTTAAAAAGCTGAATTATTGCCCTAAATCACAACCTTTCTTATACTTCCATAGAATTGTGATGTACATCCCACAGTGACTTAGGTCTATGAATTTTGGGTTCCTTCTCACTAGAGAATGGTTTGAATCTTTCTTCCTGAGATTTTTTCCTGAAAAAGGTTTTAATGTAAGTTTCCCAGCTCTGGAATTTTGAGCATTTAAACTCAAATTCTTGCCTCCATGAAGTATGAAAGTTGACACTTGTTTGGTATATGATTGTGGGAAGAGTCAATTATCCTGGTTGTATTGGTTTTCTGAAGACAAGTTGTTTTGAGTGCTCATAAATTTAATAGTCTTGTTCTTTCACTAATCTCTAAGAATTCTGGAGTGCATGTTAAAATCACGTGAGCAGACTGAATAGGTGCCTATTTTGAACCCTTTGCCAAATCCACTACCAGCAGCAGGAGCGACCATTCCAACAAGTGCCTAGCTCCTGGTGCAAACCGTGTGGAGAGTTATTTTATATTTAAACCCCCCTCTCTCTTTGTTCTTGAACTTTAATAGAAATGTACTCTACCGCTGTGGCGTCTGATTTTCCGTATGTTCATCATGTAAAGATTCTGGGCGCTGTCAGTTCTGGTCTGCCTGGAATAGCTTTTAAATTAAGTGTCCTCAAACTTCTATTTCCATAATGCAAGAGAACTCCTCTCTGTTAAAAGCTAGGTTTGATAAAGGCTGCTGCTGAATTGTGGGGATGAAAATTCAAACTTTACTGTAAATAGCTAGAGAAGAGAGTTAGTTCTCCGAATACTTTGCTGTAACTCTGAGTTAAAGCACTGATAATTGCGTGAAGTGGAAGAGTAGGGCTCTGTGTCCTCTCTCCTCCATTGTCCCTTGAGCTTCCTGTCCACAAGGCTCTCCACTAGTTGAGGGCATGCCTATAGCCTACATTTGGCTCCCTCTGTGAGTGGGAACTCTGAGGCCTCAGTTTACCCACTTGGCTTCTCAGGATGTTTCATTGG